TTTTTGATAACCTCTCAAAATGCTATATGATTCTTGTTGAGGAAGAGATAGGTCTAGATCAATGTGTTGCTACTTCCCACAACCTGGAGCATGCCACTGAAGACATAGTACAATTCTCATCACCTGATAATTACTGGTGTGAAGTTTATGAGAGGGCTGTATCTCATTACATTGCCACTTCTTCAAATAAGAAAAACAGAACTTACTTTTGCTAAAGCAGAAGCTAGAAGAGAATTACTTAAAAGTTTGAAAAGCAAAGTAAACATACCAGTGCAAACAAGATCAGGAAGATCTGATCATGCTAAAGTGTGTGCAAGTAGTTTAGCTGAAGCTAAGGAACTTTCATCAGAACTTGCAGCATCCCAAGATGTCAGTGGAGGAATCCTTGTTGGGAATTCCCCTTTTTCCAAGAGCTAAGATTGAAAATGAATATTTCACTTACTCTCGTTTATGGAAACCGTCTGACTTCAATGGTGTTATGTTTAAAATTGGAGAAAGTGTTCTTGTAACAGACGACAATGATCATGAGATTGTGGTTAATATTGGAGACTTTATTTGTGCTACTGTGGATGACAAGTTTTACTCTTTGTTAAGAGGTGAACTCTATTCTGCTATTGAAAATGATGAAGGAATGCCAGAAATTTACTGCTATAATGCTGGAATGCTGGTTGTTCCCTCAAACAGGCAGGTTGTTTTCCGCACTGAGAGCATACTCCGCAAAATCATGCTATATCCAGATCCTCAAAACTTGGAAAGCCCAGGTCACTTTATTACCATTGACCCAATGCGGAAAAGGTTGCCCTTCTCATATGCCAATGTGATTGTTCCATTTTATCCCCAGTGTGATGATTTGATTGTTGTTTCCTGTGCAGATGACAATGACTATATAGTGTTCTTCTATGTCGATGATCATCAAAATCCTGAGGTTGGACGGTATGTGCGAGAAAGCTATGGACATGGTTCTCTACATTTAATTCAGTGGAATTGCATCAAGGGCCTTGCTAATGGTCACTGGGAGGGAAACGTGTGGAAGCAGTAATCAGTAATCTGCATCAAATGTTACCAAACAAATGTGTTTATTGAAATGTTGAAGAGACTTCCTCTTGACTGTACATGACTTGTACAATGTAGAAATATTTGCAATTTTTTTAGTGCTAACTTTTAACTTTGATTACTTTTTCCTTTTATAGGAAGATATTTTGACTGCATTGTGTGCAAAAACCTTCAATGTAAACCCAAATATTTCAGCAATAGACCACACTTTCTATGGGTTTATAGGGGTAATAACTCACGTGGGATGTTTGGGAGAACACGAGAAAAGTTTGTAAATCACAAGCTGCAGATTTGCAAACTTTTCAAGTGTTCTGCCAAACATCCCAAGTCAGTTATTACCCCTATAAACCCATAGAAAGTGTGGTCTATGCTGAAATATTTGGGTTTACATTGAAGGTTTTTGCACACAAGTATGGTCTACTGCTTTTATAAAATAACTTCAAACAAAGCACAGTATTTTTCGGGCAAAATCGTGAATTGAATTCCTCCAAACCAAAGGCCGTCAATAAATCAAAATCTGGGAGCTCGCCGCGAGCAGCGGCCATTTTTCCGGACAGGAAAATGTTTCCGTTTTCTGTGGGTTTACCGGGACAATAAACCATAGGTCTTTGATCAATCAGATTGCTCGCAGTATCTCAGTTATTTTATAAAACTGTATAAACAATGTCAGCAATTAATTTCCGATCACAGTAGATGTTGGCAAGTTTAAGTTTGTGTGTAAACATATATGTGACAAGGTCACTTTAGCTCATTTTTAGTCGTGGATACGCGAAGC